CTTTTTAAGTGACATATCTGAGGAACTGTCCCAGATTGAGGTGCCATTAGAGAAGGTTTTGGAAGAAATTGATAAATTAAACAGTAATAAGTCACCAGGACCAGATGGTATTCACCCAAGAGTTCTGAAAGAACTCAAATGTGAAATTGCAGAGCTACTAACTGTGGTTTGTAACCTGTCATTTAAATCAGCTTCTGTACCAAATGACTGGAGGATAGCTAATGTGGCACCAATTTTTAAAAAGGGACCCAGAGGTGATCCTGGCAGTTACAGGCCGGGGCAAACTTCAGTACTGGGCAAACTGGTTGAAATTATAGTAAAGAACAGAATTGTCAGACACATAGATGAACATGATTTGTTGGAGAATAGTCAACATGGTTTTTGACAATGCATGATTTCCCTTTACAATCTACTAGAATACTTTGAGGGGGTCAACAAGCATGTGGACAAGGGAGTTCCAGTGGATATAGTGTACTTAGATTTTCCAAAAGCCTTTGACAAGGTCCCTCACCAAAGGCTCTTAAGCAAAGTAAGCTGTCATGGGATAAGAGGGAAGGTCCTCTCATGGATTGGTAACTAGTTAAAAGATAGGGAATAAATGGTCAGTTATCAGAATGGAGAGAGGTAAATAGTGGTGTCCCCCAGGGGTCTGTACTGAGACCACTATTATTCAACATATTCATAAATGATCTGGAAAAAGGGGTAAACAGTGAGGTAGCAAAATTTGCAGATGATACAAAACTACTCAAGATAGTGAAGTCCCAGGCAGACTGTGAAGAGTTACAAAGGGGTCTCTCAAAACTGGGTGACTGGACAACAAAATGACAGATGAAATTCAGTGTTGATAAATGCAAAGTAATGCACATTGGAAAACAATCCCAACTACACATATAAAATGATGGGGTCTAAATTAGTTGTTACCACTCGAGAGAGATCTTGGAGTCATTGTGGATAGTTCTCTGAAAACATCCACTCAATGTGCAGCGGCAGTCAAAAAAGCTAAAAGAATGTCAAGAATCATTAAGAAAGGGATAGATAATAACACAGAAAATATCAGAATGCCTCTATATAAATCCATGGTAGGCCCACATTTTGAATACTGCATGCAGATATGGTCGCCCCATGTCAAAAAAGATATATTGGAAAAGGTTCAGAAAAGGGCAACAAAAATAAGGCACGGACAGTTTCCGTATGAGGAGAGATTAATAAGATTGGGACTTTTCAGCTTGGAAAAGAGACGATGAAGCAGTAAAATGATAGAGGGCTATGAAATCATGACCGGTGTGGAGAAAGTAAATAAGCAAGTGTTATTTACTCCGTTTTATAACAGAAGAACTAGGGGTCACCAGGTGAAATTAATAGGCAGTAGGTTGAAAACAAACAAAAGGAAGTATTTCTTCACACAATGCACAATCAATCTGTGGAACTCTTTGCCAGAAGATGTTGTGAAGGCCAAGACTTTAACAGCGTTCAAAAAAGAGCTAGATAAATTCATAAAGGATAAGTCCATCAATGGCTATTAGCCAGGATGGGCAAGGATGGTGTCCCTAGCCTCTGTTTGCCATAAGCTAGGAATGGGTGATGGGATTGATCACTTGATTACCTGTTCTGTTCATTCCCTCTGGGGCACCTGGCATTGGCCACTGTTGGAAGAAAGGATACTGGGCTAGATGGACCTTTGGTCTGACCCAGTATGGCTGTTCTTATGAAAATACTGATTAAGAAAATCCAATCCATTACCTTAGGTAGCTGTGTTTGTTAATCAGTTAGTCTAAATGTAAATGCAAGGATGTCTGTGAAAGCAAGACAATAGTAGAAAATGTATATACCCACACACTTGCGTGCATATATGTTCGTGCTGTTGATGTACAGTTCATGCAATAAACTACATCATTAAACTTCTTTTTACTTTCAGTACACTTACATTTTCTATTTGTTGCTTTTTTTCTGTCATCCTGTCCCCCTCTATCAACCCCAATATTTACCCAGAAAACTGGGGGTGATAATTTTTTGCACCGATTTTCATCCATTTAAAAATTTTGAAATGGAAACGTTGATAAATTCCTAGATAATGTAAACAAAAATGTAGGGCCTTGTTTATGGCCCATCTAAAGGCTTAGACACCTGGAATTACATCATTTAGATGTGCTGCATTCTTTAGTGGCCAGACTGTACCTGGCCCCTGCTATGGTATGTAAAGAAAAAAGAAACTTTCTTCCCTCCATCTTGTGTTTCCTGCAAGTAGGCCAACTGCAGTTGCAATTACTGGGCATGTGCAGAGCAGGAAAATAGGTGGTGGTATTAGTAGTGGTTTTAAAATGTGAACACATTTAAAAACATCATCATCTTTCTAATCTAGATGACCTTTGAATGTAGAGATTGCTTCTTGTATAAGCTTTGCATTGGGCATAAAGGTTGTGTGTAGTTAGTTTATGACTGGGATTTTTCCTCAGTGCATATGTTTTTGTGTGTTAAAGGCTGCAATATCAACAAGAAACTTTGTATTACTTTTTTGGTATTTGTATCTCTTTTCTGTACTTCTCCTCCTTTATTAAAAGAGGAAATAAAATGCAAATCTTTAACAGGATGTTAATTATCTCTCAAGCTAAGTAAGTCAAAGACATTTCTGACTGACGTCTGCCTTAGGCCAACTTTCTTCTTTTGCTTGGAATAGTCATGAGCAGCAAGAGATATGGGCAGTGTAGTGAATTGCTGTGAATGAGGCTGAAGGAAGGATATAATAGTAATTCTCCCAATCACTGCAGTGAGGACGTTTTGTGGCTGGCTGGGGGACAGGATATGTAGTGGTTTGGGCAGTCAGAGGTGTTTGAGTGAGTTTGGGGGAAAAGACCGAAAATGTAAAGGAAGAGGGTACAGAACACTATGGAGAAAGAGAAGGAAATGACAGACTCTGACAAAAACATAGGAAAAAGATACACAATTATCTTTTATTAAGAGGGAAAAATGGGAGGTAACCAGGAAGGGACAGGCGGTGTAACAAAAACAAGAGAGAGATGTTAAGTTACAATTCTGAAAATGTATTAAATAGTTGACAGAATTACAATTAACTACTGTATCCAGGAAATGGTATCCAGGTACGTATTCATAAAATCACTAATTCTCAACCACGGGTACGCAAACCCCTTGGGGTACACAGAGGTCTTCCAGGGGGTGCATCAACTCATCTTGATATTTGCCTTGTTTTATAACAGGCTACATAAAAAGCACTAGCGAAGTCAGTACAAACTAAAATTTCATACAGACAACGACTTGTTTATACTGCTCTATATACTATACACTGAAATTTAAGTACTGTACAATATTTATATTCCAGTTGATTTATTTTATAATTATATGGCCAAAATGAGACCGTAAGCAATTTTTTCAGTAATAGTGTACTGTGACACTTGTGTATTTTTATGTCTGATTTTGTAAGCAAGTAGTCTTTAAGTGAGGTGAAACTTGGGGGGTGGTACGTAAAACAAATCAGACTCCTGAAAGGGGTACAGTAGTCTGGAAAGGTGGAGAGCCATGCCTTAAATTGCAGGAGGTAGGGCATTTTAGAGGCATGGTGGTATACGTATTTTCGCCATGGCTAGTAGGCTTGTTAGATGGGTATATTTTTCAAGTCCTGTCAAAAACTATCAGTTCCTTAGCTGCATTCTCGTCTCCGTGAACAGCTATTGCACAGTCAGATCACTATGTACTTTTGGGTGTTGTAATGAACTCAAAAATTGTTAAATGACCTGAAAATACCTGTGTGTTGCATGTGAGAATGGTTACTGAATGTGAGACTAACCTTTGAGGATCACTTGCTATTGAAAGTGTGATGTGTAGTTAACTGCTAGATAAGCATATAACAAGACCACTTCTCAGTTTTTAATGTCTGACTTCTGATTAGACGTACAAATCTGGTTGTCAATATCCTACTTGAAAATATGCTTAACTAGACTACGTTGGTTACTGAAAGTTGTTTTCGGATGGACCTCTAGTTAGCATACCAGGTATGCATTGATCATCCTTATAAAATGTATACTCTGGGGATTAATTGTAAGCATGGTCATGTACTCTGTATAATCTATGTTTCATAATTCTGCAGAACTGTGCTTTAGAATCCAGTCTTTGTTTCTTTAAAAAAGGAAATCTTAGATCCTGTGATTGTGAAAGAAACCTTCCAAATGTAAACTGAGTATAACCAGTGTAGTGATATTTTCCTGAGCCTGTAGCCAGCTTGGAAATGATACCTCTACCCCGATATAACGCGACCCGATATAACATGAATTTGGATATAACACGGTAAAGCAGTGCTCCGGGGGGCGGGGCTGCGCCGGATCAAAGCAAGTTCAATATAACGCGGTTTCACCTATAACGCAATAAGATTTTTTTGGCTCCCGAGGACAGCGTTATATCGGGGTAGAGGTGTAGTTTTGAGAGATGTGAGCTGCCCCATTTATCTCTGTCTTTTTAAACTTTGAAACCTAATGTTGACCAGTTAGATGTCAGTGTTAAGTGTTCCAATGCTGATTTCATTTTTAGCAAAACATTCAAGCAGCGTAATTATCGTACAACTTGAAACTACTGTACCTTCCTTGCATTCAAGTACCAAAAGCTTCTACCACCTTCTACCCAGCTTCCATCTTCTCCTCCTATGGCTTCCTCAGTGCAACACAGTTCTGCGGCGTGTTGATGAGTGAATTTAAGACAGGCAACATACAGTAATTTTAAATATCTTGCTACAATCAGTGCAGTTTTGTTGTTTGTTCATGTTCAAATTTAAATCAGTAAAAGGCGTGTATTTTTATGTTTACCTGAAATGGTTGGGGAATTTCTAGTCCGCTACTTTGGACTGCCACAGTAACTGTTGCTACAGAAGCATTTAGGCCAACCTTGCCAAAGAGTACACAGAGACCTGATTGTAACTTTATTCATAACCAGATAGTCACTGTTGACTTCACTGGTCTGTATCTGGAATGACAGACTTCTGACTTCCTTCTCTGTAGGCCCAGATTACTCCTCCGCGGGATGGTTATCTGGTACTGAATCACTGTGGCAGGCCTCAACCATTCCATCGAGCAGCCGAAGTAACCATATCAGAAGACACAGTATAGCTTCTGACAGCGGGGACACAGGCATTGGTACCTCCTGTTCTGATAGTGTGGAAGGTGAGTGAAGATTCTTAAATTCTGAAGTTAATCAGTCTTGGTGAGAGAAAAAGAGATGAACTAAGAAGTTTTAAAGGCCGAATGTATCTTAAAAATACTTATTTCTCCAATATTAAAGAACATGAAATTGCCAATTTTTTATGATGGGTTGAGAAATTGTTTTGGTTAGATCTGTTTAACTTGCATTGTATGGGCCTTAACTTCTCTGTATCACAAAGTTGTCTTCTGTTGTGTGGGAGTAAAGATAGTTAAGTTACAGGACTGGGAAAAAGATGGAGAAAGGTCTCGTCCTCTTTTTGCCTTCTGTTCAGGGGAATACAAATTGCATTTTAATATGAGGCATCTCATGAACTGGCAAAATTCATTTAAGATTATCCAAAAGTATCTAGAGAGGGCTAAAACTAAGTTTGGGGATACGATATCGCCCAAGATTTCTCAAACTTGCTCCTATCACAGAAGACGTATAAAGGATTTAGCCATTACAACAGGAGTATCCCTATCCCCCTGCATGGAGGGCTCTCCCTGGAGATCAAAACTGCACCAGGGCAGTGAATGGGACAAGAATGGTTTAAGCCTATGTTGAGTAGTGATAGACCACAGGGATGCATGGTCCCCTTTCCTCCAGCAGGGTTTTCTAGGGTAAGGTAATGCAGGTTGGGGCTATGTTACTTTTTTCTGCAGGGCCTTTCTGTGCATGGATCTCTTTAAAAGGAATCCTGGGACCACTGCAGCCCAGGAGAAGGGAGATCGCATGGGAGCCCCTGAGCCGGTGTAGAGGCACGGGTCTCTGTATGAATGCTCCTGACCTCCTGATGATGGCCTAGGATCCTCCGGGTTTGAGGCTGTAATGCCTCATTGCAAAGGGGGGCAGTCCTTTCCTACCCATCCCACTACCCAGCATGCTGATTGAAGACGAGCTCTGAAAAGGAATCCTCTCCGTCTCCTTATTCCCGTACTGTGGGTTTAGCTGTGAGAAGGGGTAATCTGGTGCTATATTAAGAGACTCAGAAGTGATAACTGCTGTACAAAGAAGACATGTTCTCTGTTGGCTAATTGCAATGGATTTGTACTCTGATCAGTGTGAGTTCTTAACTCTGCTTTGTGTCAGAGCTTGTTGGAGAAATCCTCTGTAATAATTGGGCCTATGTATTTACCCTAATTGTCAGCTCAACTGTAAAAAGTCAGTAAAAGTTTCTAAAAGGTCACAACAACTATTAATGGGGGAAAGTACAACAGAGGCAAAGATTAAATTAGTCAAAATAAAAAGGCTGATTAATATAATTCAAGAACTGTGTAAAAATTCTGCCTGGTAAGCAAGACAGTGTAAAACCAAAAATCAGTAAACCAAAATTGGTTTGTTTAAAAACGAGGCCTAATTTGTAAACCAAATAATAAAAGGATTAGCTATTTCACCCATCATTCTCTTTTGAGTTCCTTAAAGAGAGATTTTTTGGGAGGGAAATTGGCTACTGGAGTGAGCTTCACCATTATGGCTGCCACTACTTCCAGCATCTCCTGGGACCCCAAGCATTTGTCATCCTGATCCTAAGAGATGTCCTGACCAGAGAGGGACCCAATTGACATCTCCACCTCTGCCAGCTCTGCAAAATCCCAAACACCTCTGGGGATGTGAGACTTTGTATCTATATTACCCATCTGAGTGTGTCCTTTTCCTTCCCCACCTTTCTTTTTTCTTTTCTTCTTTTTTCTAATAATAGTCCAGCTTAGCCGGGCAAGACTATATTTTGCAACACTACTATACGTCTGTGACCAGGAAAAGGCAACTGAAAGCAATACCCTAAATAGCCCAATGCTGGTACAAGATTTCCAGGTCTCAGAATGGCTAATAAGACTATGTGCTGTGTTGTGTTTCTCCAGTAGTGAGGTTGCAAGTGAAAGTCAGCACCAGAGACAGAAGCTGTGTTTTCTATCTTTGTTTTTCTTTTCTCTCCCTTTTTGTGTGGGTGTTTGTCTTCTAAAAAACAAAATCCAACTCTAACACCACCAGCAATGACAGCTCCAGCTGATCTACTAATTTCTTCTCTTCACCCTCCCCCCCCAATTTTTTTTTTTTTTTTTTTTTTTTTTTTTTACCATTTTTAGTATAATCTAAAAACCTGTCAGACAAGGAGGGGGGGGGTTCTTCTAAAAACTTGCTTCACCTTTAAAAAAACAAACAAACAAACATGTTAAGATGAAAGCCTTATGGAGTACTTGACATTTCAAATGCTTTTAACTGGTTTTTTTTTTTCCCTTTTTTGTATTTTTTGATAAAAGGTTAAAGTAATGTTTAATGGTGTGTTTGCCATGGTACTAAGCAAGCTAAGCTCTCTGTATTCCAAACCCCAAACCTTGTTTAGCTCTGTTTAAGCTTAAACAATAATAGGGTCTTAACTCCTTTAACCTTTGGGTCTATATATTCCATCTAAATTAATACACCTCCTTTCTTCTTTTTCCAAATACTTTTTTATAAAATATGGTAGGATTTATGTAAAACAGATTATTCATTAGCTAGTCTATGAAGAAATATATTTCAGAAAAAAATTCAATAACCTAGATAGTAGTTCTCCAGTACTGGGATTTTATTTGATTTTTTTTTTTTTAATTTGCTTTTTCAAATCTTCTTCCTTGATTCTTGCAAATTTAATGTTTTAACAGAGCAACTAGGTTGCTGTAATACTGACATAATGCTTAGTTATGCAGCATTAGGGTTCTAGCCACACCCTTTACTCAGGCAAAGCTCCCATGAAATTCTGTGGGAGCCTTGCCTGAGTAAAATGTGTGGCTAGAGTCCAGAAGTATTAGTGGCCCATAAGACCAGAAGAAGAGCTATGTGTCTGCTCGAAAGCTTGTGTCTCTAATCAATAGAAGTTGGGCCAGTAAAAGGTATTCCCTCACTCGCCTTAGCCCATAATTTGCTCTCTGATCCACCCATTGGATTTCTGTTTCCTTATACGCAGATCCAGGCATTGTAGAATAGTGAGTTAAGATCTAGGCCTGGATAAAAGCACCTTTTTCTTTTTCTTGATGGCTTCCCCATTTGAGGGGTAGGTGGGAAAGAGGGGGGATGAAAAAGCAACTACTATAAAACTTGATTCAGGGGATATTTATCACTTTAAGAGCTACCTTATATCTCTATGGTGTTGACCTACTGTTACAAGAAACATCTCTTATTTTCAGTTACAGCAATCATGTAACATCTCTCTATATTTTTTTCAGTTTGTATATTTTGTGCATTTGGTGATGCTTTACATACAGTCAGTTTCACTGTTTCCCTTAGTCCCCTGGCTTGTTAGCTGTTTGAAAACTTGCATGACAGTGCAGAGGAAAACAGGAAAAATGTGGTTGTAAAATAAAAGTTGGCAGGAGGACTGAGGGGATAGGTAGTATCTGAACTTACTTCTTTGTAACTGACTAAATTTAAAGTTGACTGTTTTTTCAGGAACAAATTAGAATAGCTGAGGCAATTTCAATAGGATTGCCAAGGCCGGCTTGTAGTTACAGACTCTCTATTCTTCTAGCCATCTGTTTTCAATGTGGGTGCTAGGGAAATAGCCCTTAGGGAACAGGCTCTGCAGAAAAGGGTTTTTTTTTGTTTTGTTTTTTGACAACTCAGCAAATCATTACAACTTCTAGCAATTCAAGACTGAAATGTGAGTTTGTTACCTTGCTTTTTCTGAAGCTACTAACAAATAATCTATTCTTAATTTTAGAGTTACAAAAATGCATTTTGTTAATGTTAACAATATCCTTAAACCTTTTATTTACAAAAAAATCATTCAGCTGTTCAGAGCTGTAGTTATTAGTAAATGCAAAAATATGTTGTCTGATGCAAAGAATGAAATTCAAGTCACTTTTTTTTTTTTTTAAGAAGGTCTGGTTTTCTCTTTCGCTATTGCATTTCAGTAATTTCTTAAAAAGGTGGTAAAATGAAATTTAAATATTTATTTGAACTATTTCAGGAGCAGTCTTCTTTCATTCTGGAATTGTAGAGTTTAAAGGGATAATTCCTAGTCTAAAAAAATTACTTGGGACTAAAATTTTCAGATTGGGGGCAGAAAGAGTTTTTATAATGCCCAAGAGGAAGAGAAAATATCACTTAAAGTGTAGTTGTTCCTCTGCAGCACTGGGAGCCCAATGATAGTATATGAAAACCAGGAAATGAAACTGACCAGTTTAGTTTCATTGTTCACGTTAAGCAAAGTGTGTATAGGGGAAAGTAAAGACTCTTGTGTGTTGAAAAGCTAACTGGACTCTTAAATCCATTCTGCCCTAATCATCTGATATTAGTAAAAGATTTGTATTAACTGTATTTATCTTCACTCAGAGTATCCTTTTAATCTTTCTGCCAACAAGTGGTGATGGACATGAACTTGTTCGCTGATACAAATCCTTGTTCACAAGTGTTTGGGTTTTTTTTACCAAATATACATTGAGGCCAAATTCTTAATAGTATTTCTACTTAGAGCAGGAGAAAAAGTTCCAGAGGTGGGTGCCCCATCACCTGTGAGCTGAATAATAAAAAATATATTATCTTCTACAAGTCTGGCTTTATTTAAAAAAAAATAGCTATCCCTCCTGACTTTATGTAGTAGCTAACTCTCAAACAAAGATTTGTGTGAGCTTATTAGCAAGAAACCTTTTTCTCATGGAATGATTTTCTTTAGAGTTCATGTACTTTCTGAAAAGAGGGGTGGAAATTTTAGGATATTCTTCTTATAAGCACTATAGATTCTATAGAGGCCTGTGAAGATGATTCCTTGTATTTCTTTTGGTGAGTATAGGAGGCAGTTACCTTGAAGCACTGCACAGAAGAAGAGGTTTTAGTGGGAGACAGGTGCTGGAAATCAGCTGATCAGCACCTCATGACTGGCCGAGGCTCTCAGCTCCATGATGGGTGGGGCGTGGAGAGAGAACCAGGAGAGAGGATACTCTCTCTGGTTACCAGAACATGAGGCTGAAGGCAAGCAGGCAGACCCTGTGGAGCCCCCTGGGGTGGG